TCCAACTTGCTTGCATGTGGATTAAGAACAGGTTTCCATCATTTTCAGCATTCTCCTGGTGTAGAGGAAAAGCATAGCTTTGTTTTCTTTTTAAATTTTAATTGTCATTTGAGTGACAGTTTATAAACAAAATTTGTTTTTCATTCATCCATTTGTACATACTTTGCTCTATGACATTAATTTTAACATCCATCACATAATCATACTCTTCCCACTTTCCCCTGCGACACTTGTTTCCATTGAGCTTTCTATCCCCTCCCTCCCCTCCTGCTTTCTAGTCACCACCCTTGAACATTTGCAACTTTTTTGACCTTAGATGGTTGATTGGTATAAAGAGTGATATATCCCCCCTGGCGGTGTGTTCACCTCATAGGTGAACTTAAAGTTGAGCCATGGGATGAACTTTTTCCCGAGGTTTAGAAGGTCACCATGGTTCATAGTCTTGGGCTTCTGCTAGTCTCTATTGGACCAGCCAACCTGGTCTTTTTTAGCGGATTTGAGTTTTGCTCCACATTTACCCCCATTCTAGCCAGGATCGTCTCCTCTGATCCCTAGTAGAGTGGTTGGTGGTCGGGCCCTGGATGCTGAAGTTCACTTGGTTTATTAGTCCTCTGGACTGATTCTTTCCATACACCTTCACCTTTGTCCCCTCATTCTGCATAGGAAGAAACCAGTAGCTGCACCTTAGATGACCATGTGCAACCTTTTAAGACCCCAGACAATACTCAGGAAAGCAGGAAGTGTGACATTTTCTGTGTGGACTCACAAGCTATTGACACTGTTGGTGACTGATGGGTCTCAAGCCTCCAGAACAAGCAACTCATTCCTTCAGGGTGTTTGCTTTTGATGAAGACACTTTGCTTTCTGATGGAGATACCTTTTGAATGACATGGAGTGTTCGACGGCTCATGTTTAGATGTTAGAGAAAACATTGTCACCTGGTGATCCGACTTGCTGGAGAATTTGGAAGCATGGTCTAGCTGAGTACCCCAAGATAGGGGAGTGGGCTGGAAGACAGCCAGCTCACTGAACGTAGCCCCATGCTGCCCAGCATCGCCTGTCCCCAGGCAGGTTATGGAGATGATGACCCAGGAAGTGTGGAAGATGGCACAGGAACGTGGTGCTTCTTGAGCAGGGAACAGCACATGCTTTCCGAAAAGGACCGAGAGAGAGAGAGAGAGAGAGAGAGAGAGAGAGAGAATGTATGTATGTATGTATGTATGTATGTATGTATGTATGTATGTATGTATTTATTTTTAAAAGGACCCAGTGTTAGATGAGGCTTGTCTAGCCACATGTGAGCTCTCTGACATTTGGTCATTTTTTTCAAATTTTTTTATTTTACAGGAGTAGAAAAAACAAACCCTTTAGAAAATTGTAGGCACCCAGGCCATGGGTGGGCTTGGTCCTGTGGCCACAGTTGGCCAGCCCTGCTCTCTGCTGGGCTGGGCCTTTCTTTCATGTTGCCCCGTTCTCAGGCAGAGCTCAGTGCAACGGGCATGCAGTGAGTTAACGCTCTGGGCTGCAATCTCGGAAATGCTTTTGTGCTTAATAAATCATATCCTGATCCATAAATTAGAAAGATGATTTAATTTGGGAACATTGCAGTTTGTTGCCACCTGACTGATGAGTATCCCAGTCAGAATCAGTGTGTTTAACTCATCATCAGATTTGCCTTTTTTAATGTGTTTCTTGGTATTTTTTCATGATTCTTTCTCGTTATATAAGGAAGATGGCGAGACTTAGAAATGATTAAGTTTCCAGGATAAATGAAGTGTGGAAAATGAATGTGGGTGGGCAGGTTTGGTGAGGTGTGTGAAAATGTACAGGTAGCTTTTTAGTAGTTATATTAAGACAGGGAAACTGAGTGGCTGTCTTGTCAATTTGAAAGTGCCCTGCATCAGACTCTCAGATGAAGTGGGCTTTGCTGCTGAGTTTTGGGGGCTCTTGAAGGTGATTTTCACCTTCCAGGCGAGCTGGGTCCTTGTCCAGGCCCTGGGGGCTCCCGCTGTGTGCCGCTGGCGATGCTCCTGCCTTGTCTTGGCCTTTGATAGGACCTGTGTGGGAAAGTGTAAAACAGGGAAGGGGTGTGGCCTTTTTCCTGTTAAAGGACAAGATGGAATCATAAAAGTTTTATGCTCATCATTTTTCAGAGTTCTCTAGTAGCCTAGTGGCAGGACACTGTGCTGCAATCCTGAAGGCATAAGGTTCGAGGCCACCAACTGCTCCATGGGAGAAGGACGGGCAGTCTTCTCCCATTCAGTTAACTACTTCTGAAAACCTGCCGCAGGGTCAGCTGTGGGTCGTTCTGACTCTGCGGTGCACAAGTGTTTATACCACTGATGCTTTCCTGGGAGGCCTCTTCCTATTCCGTGGCTCGTCTGGGCCCTTACTCGCTCTCCGACAGTCTTGGGGAGTAGAAGTGTTTTGTTCTGTTTGTCCGTTGTCCCTCAGGAGGCCTGTCAGGGTTGCCCTTCCCACCCTCACTTGGAGTAGAGGCCACATATGTCTGTACACAACTTCCGGCCTGATCATTCTGAGGAGACAGACAGTGGGCCTTCTTGGACGCTGGGCATCTGCCCTGCCCTCCACATCCAGCGTGACCATGGCGGCCTGTTTCAGCTGGGCATGCTGGTGTTGCTGCTAGTGGCCGTGAATATATTGCCAGCTGTTTATTTTGAAGCATTTAAAGAAACAAGTCTTAAATAGGTGCAGTGTTTACTCCCTTGATATTTGATGGCAATCTTACCGACAGGAGTTTCCTAAAGGAGTTCTTGGTATTGTTAGATGTCTTTGGGTAGGTTCATACAGAGCATCTCCAGTACAACAGAATGAAGTACTGCCTAGTCCTTGCCAATCTTTATTTTTAAAGTTGTTTTTTGAAAGAGAACCAGATGAAAAGAACCGCAGAGAAGGAAGCCACGGCTGCGACACTGGCGTCCAGTTCCGCTGGGTCTGGCTGTGCAGCTAGCTCTGTGAGCACAGATACTAACGGACGCACTTTCCGGTGATGGCCACGATGGGACTGTGCTGGGCCGATGAGACTGCACCCCATCTGCACGTCCGTTCTGGGGTGATGGGAGCATGCGCGTGTTTTATCAGTGCCTGCTGTTTCTGAGTGGCATTGGCTGATAACTGGGCAGCATCTTGTCATTGGTCCGAACTTGTCTTTTCATGGCATCCTTCAGACTGTGTGGTGAACCCTCAGCTCTTATTTTCTGCCTTGAAACTTATAACAAACTTGAAACAAACGGGTGATCGAGGAGCACATGTGTGAAGTGACTACGTTTGATTGTCAGATGCTTCTAGTCACTGAAGAGACTGGGCCTCTTGCATTCCTTAGAATCAGAGTACTAGAATTGGGTGCTGGTACTTGCAGAGGCTTTACCACCTCAAGGCTTTCCAGTTTGGAGCTGTAGTACCAGCTGCCAGCGCTGGTGGTAGAGAGGGTGGGCCCTCATTGCTGGGGGGCAGTGGGAGTGTGGGCTGGCAGTGCTGGTGGGCAGTGGGAGGGTGGGCTGGTAGCGCTGGTGAGTGGTGGGCAGCGGGAAGGCTTTGTTCCTTAGTGTCACTTGTCATGTGTTACCATAGACTTTTAATTTTTTTTTAGACTTTTAATTTTTT